TGAGGTTCGACGCAAAGGCTCTGGAAGACAATGAACCCTCTGTGGTGTTCACTGTCTGGGCCAACTCGACGTCTGATGAACTGTACCCTGGGAAGACGCCGGCGAAAGTGGAAGCACTGGTCATAAAGAATGCTGAGCTTCTGATCAAGGGGTAAGTAAAGATAGATAGCGGCACTATGAGCTAAACCGTAGCGATTACAGGGCAGATATGTACCATCCTAGACTGCATCCCACTTAACATCAGGTGCGATTGTGGTCAAATACCTGCCTTGTTATGCATAAAAAAAAAAAGATTCTTAACTTGTTATAATAGATGTTATTTTACAACATTAACTACTTAACAGTGATGTGCTATACGTTGGATCTACTTCGCTGATCGCACCGACGATCCGGTGAAGGTCGCGGGAAGAATCGCAGGATAAGGATAAGGGATACGGGCAGCGCAGGACCAGTCGTTATGAAAAGCCTTAAGGGAAGCCTTTGTCCAGCAGTGGACGTCATTTGACTGAAACGACCGATGTTATATGTTGGAAGTAAATTATAGTAATTGATATAATGACCTGATGAAAAAGTCCCAATGATTTGTTACTTCCATGACAGTTTAGTCAGGTTTGTCATCTCTTTTATTTGCTATCATGGTTACAATTTCATTTTTACTGTTTCAGTGCCGCACGTCCCGAGCAGGTGTTCTACGGCGGAGAAGTGAAGGGAGAGTCTGCAATGACTCATTTCGACGACATCGGCACCAGGGTTATGCATACCTATCAGGTAAAGTCAAATCTTTTAAACATAATCCCTGATCCAATGTTTGAAAAGTATCATGTTAGTGTGCATCGTAATCTTCATTTTTGGTCGTTTGTAAGTACATACATAATTGGAAAATTCTTACATAGAACATGTTGAGCGTTATTCTGACGATAACAATGTCAAAGGTTGTCAGGATCTCTGCTGTGCCTGTAGACAAAATTACATGGTTTCAGAAATGCAGAGCACTCACTTTGTCTTGAGAGGCAAGTCATTCCAAAGCAGTAATATTTGCTACCAACTTTTCTTCGATAAAAAGCTTGGTAAAAACGAATACAATTTCACGGTGAATTGAAAAAAAAGTGAAGTCAACGGCTTGATCAAAAGTTGTCGGCCATTTGGTGTAGTGGTTCAGAGCGGACTACTATGCCGAGAGGTCCCGGGTTCGATTCCCGGCCGGGCAGAAATTGAAATGATGAATTTTAATTTCTGTGACGGATCTGGGTATTACTATGTATAATATGTATTTTAAAAAAAAGTATATAAGTAGTATATCCGTTAAGCTAGCACCCATAACACAAGCATTAAGTTGCTTACTTTGGGGCTAGCTGGCGCTGTGTGAAATTGTCCAAAGATTATTTATTATTAAAGTTTATCCTTGCAGGTGTTCAACGAGGGCCCGTGGCGCGTGTCATCTGTACAGGTGGTGATCTCGTGGCCGCACCAAGTGGCGGCGGACAGCGCGCAGGGCAAGTGGCTGTTATACCCTGAGGATGTTCCCACGGTTGATGGCGAAGCTGGTAAGAAGAGTTTTAACTAGAAAACATTTTTTCGTCTTTTTGTTCTTCGATCTTGTGTCCCTAACGTGTCTGGACAGCATGAGGAATGTAGCTCAAATCCTCTATTTGCCTCTTGAGAGAAGGTCGTCTTCTTGAAGTGAAAACTAAATTGCCTGATAATGTGACAGTTGAGATTACTGTGGTCAACTGTGTAAGAGTTTATGAGCCTCTTAGCCCTAGCATTGATCATAGCTCATTAGTATTAAAAAATAAAGTACTCTCTTAAACAACTCATAGTATGTGTCTGATTCACATATTTTAATCACAATGTTTTTTCCTTACAGATCAAAGCAATGGCGAATGCTTTATATCCGAGAATCAAATAAATCCATTGAAACTGACGCCAAGGCCTGGTGTCCCTGAACCGTACTTAGAAAATCTAGAAATGGACCCATTCCTAAGAACAGGGAAATTAAGTGTCAGCTCTAGTGAAAAAGAACACAATGAAACGAAAAGGGTTTTCGAATCTTCTAATGCTTTTGAGAATAAGGTCAGAAGAAGAAGAGAAAGTGACGTGGTAAAAGCAGAAGCGTACACAGATAAGGACGGACAAAGAAAACAAGTTGTTAATATGGTATGTATGAATTAAATTTTTAGTCAAAAGCTAACTTTAATTTTACACCATAAAAAATAATAATCTATCTATGAGTATGAGTATCTACTTCTCCTTGCATAGCATAAAAACTAATCCTTCACGTGTAATATGAGAATGTTCCACAAAATATTTTCTTATTTGCCATCCTGAAGAACATGTTCCCTAATATAAGGCCAACCAACCTTTCATTTAGGCAAGCTATTTCTTCGAATTGTCAATAACCCATTTAATCATCTTCCAGAACTGTCAAAAGAAGACGGCCAAGTGCATCCAGTTCCAATGCGTCATCTACCGACTGGGCCGCATGCAGGCTACCACCATTACCGTCAAGGCGCGTCTGTGGAACTCCACTCTAGTTGAAGATTACCCTCGCGTCAGCCACGTCAACATCGCCTCCACTGCGTACATCGTTATACCCGAGCATTATAATTTACATCAGAGCAAACACCACGATGACACTGCTACGGTAAGACATCACTTTTTATCATCATTTATTGTATTTTGTGCGTGATCTACCAGCCGCATGCAGTCATCAACGTCACGGTCAAGCCACGCTTGTGGATCTCCACGCTGATAGAAGACTCTCCGCGTGTCCAATCTTTTTCTACAAATATTTTTTCGATACCTTTGAAGGCATATTAGCCATCAGAGGAATGGGGCAATGTCAGACGCCTGTCTGATGTGGAATGTAACTTTAGATGTTGGGCAATGGAATCACTACCCACACCATAGAAGAATAATGTTCTTCCAAGAACTTAAGAACTTCAGATGGATGGCAGAAGCCATGTTAATTCCGTTGTTGAAGGACCTACAGAAAATACTCTAATATTTTCTTCCTCTTTCAGGTGGAGACGGTCGCTTACCCCGACCTTAAAATAAGCGAGCCTTCAGAAGTGCCTTTGTGGGTGATCATCCTCTCAGTGATCATCGGACTAATAGTGTTAATCCTCCTCATCATCGCGCTTTGGAAGCTTGGCTTCTTCAAGCGCAGTCGGCCAGACCCGACCCTGTCTGGCAATTTGGAGAAAAACAACCACGAGTCAAGTCCCTTCATAGGGAGGGAACGGAACAGTATTCGATAGCTGGAGTATTTCATGGTGCACGATGTGCATATTTAGTTTCTGGTGCACAAAGGACTGAAGTGCAACGGATTTTAGAACGTTGTGTACATATTGTGTTGGATTGTTCGGTTTATGAGTCTAGGTTAGGGAACAAAGTTGACCGCAGAGGGAAAAGTGGAACAATGACGTAACCTTACATAAATCAACTTTACAGAGTTATGATATCATAATCTTCAGTGTATCTAGTTAACACCGTACAGTGCTACATGACCCATTAACCGGTTCGTTGTATAAAAGAAAGCTCAAAACTGAAGCATAGATTTATGTTTGTGATTGGTGGCATCTCAATATTTGACCACCAATCAGGCTTTAATCTAGTCTTAGGTGTTGAGTGTCATTTTACGCCTTGAGCTTGTGAACACTGTAAGAGATCATTTCGATATTTATAGGTTTTGATCAAATTTGTTCCTTGTATCTAAACGTTGTATGTAATATACAAATAAATTAAATATTTTGACTGTGATGTCTTCATAGAGGAAAATTGTGCGTATGTGATGTTTTAAACAGTCGTGTTTAAGTTGTTGAAGTTTGCACGAGCCCTTGTATTGAGAATTTTATTATATTTTTTTCTATTTGCATTTCTGTAGAGATTAATGTGGACTACGCGAGTTAAATGATTGTTTGTTTATATATTCGAATGGATATATTTCTTCTGTAAATAAAAACTTGTCTTTTTTTCTTATTTATGCGTAGTTAAGTGCCTACTTAATCGACTAGATTTTTTCCTAGTCACATTATGAAATAGTTAATTAATATAGTTAGTAGTATTTAGATGAAGATGTTTTTTGCATCTAAGGATTTTAAATGGTCACAAATGCAAAACTAGAATCCTTATTGAGCACTTTTAAAGTCATCCAAAAAATATGGCACAGGCCTGAAAATTATCTTAATTATGATTTAGGGACTTTCTTTTAATAAAAAAACTTATTTTTATATTTGAATTTGCAAAATATGTTCTTATTGTATCCAACAATGTCAGGTTTTTTCACTTTCATTTTAAACGGAATTATTCTCTAAAAATAAAAGCAAATAACAGGTACAAATAAAGATTTATTGTTATTAACATTTATAAATATCAATGATAGAACTGCACTTACGTACTTAAAATATGTACTTTACATGTTAAAGGTTCTCGCGCAAAAGTATACATTTAATTATATTATTAAGCGATGTAAATATGTTTCATACCTATGTACTACTAGATTTTCTACTAAATTACCTACTTACATATTGTTAGAAACATTATATAAAAATATCATAAAACACTGCCACTAAGACTTAATTAAAAGTATAACAAGTTGATGTCGTCATACTTAATATTTAAATAAATTTTGGCTATGATTTTAAATACTTTTAAACTGACTGATTTTCCATAAGTTCATGTTCAAACATTAGAATCACAATAATAAGCTTAAAAAAATTAAAAAGCACTATTATAACAAAACTAATATCATATGATATACAAAATTTCATGTCTTATAATATTTAATTTTATTAACATCTTTATTTCTGTAACAATAATTCAGGTAAAAATTAATTTCATAGAAAATATATTTTAGTACTGGTTGTGATGATTGCAGTTTCCTTCTACGTTCTTAATGCATAGTACATTTTTACGTGAAATAAAAAGTGCCATTTCGAATGCAGTGGTTTTATTTACTTCTAATTATTACCTACACAGTATACACAAACTTATAAAGTGGATATATATTTTTTTAATATTATTTATATGTTCCTCCGACAAAAGCACATCAAGTTGGACCCCAGTTTTAAAATTTTAACTCTATTTGCAATAAATACAAAATTTCATTATGTAGTCTATTAATTCCACTTTTTTTAATTCATTCTGACTCAGTGAACTCTACATTTGATTTATTATTGCATTTTTCATCGATACAAAGATTATTAAAATACAAAAAACCTAATTTTGTTATACAAAGGACTAGTTACTCATTAAATACCTTATTAATTACTTACAAACACGCCCACTTATTAAGCTTAATAAGACATTTTGTAATAGTTGTAACCTGAAGCTGAGGTTTTCTGAAAAAAAGAATGGAATTAATTTTATATGTAAGTATTAAAAACAATACCTGATAATTTAAGAACTTACTTCTTTTTTCACAGAAGACCAGCAAAATGTACATAGTGATTGGTTTTTATGGTCAATTTCATTCTTTTGAAGACACGGTTGCTCCATGTCACCTGAAAGAAAAGTGGTTTGAAATTTTGCATTAGGTATTTAAAGTTAAGAACATTTTCCATCAAAAATTTTTGATGGTACTTTTACAATTCTAGATATATAAAATTTGTGTTGCACTACAGCCTTATTTTCTATTACAGCCTTATTTTCTAATTGATTTAAGTACCTATATGGCGTGGATAAATAAGTGGCCGTTAAATATTGTGAATAATAACCACATAAAGCTATCCAATGTTTTATTAGCCACATTTCGATCCAATTTCCTCTAGTCTACCATGAATAAGGGCTCTTTCAAATATAAGACGTTTTGCGCCAGACGTTAGTTGGACCGTACACGGTACAATAAAAACTACTCGTAGTAAGTAAGTAGTTAGTGTGCGGTCATATAATAAACCCTCAAAACGTCTATGCAAGAGCGCTAAACCGATATTGTACTTTATCTCACCTGTGTAAAGTTGGTTATCGAGGTGCGTGATGTAGCTGCCAGCTAGACGCAGGATTTCGATCTTGCTGAGCTTCCTCTCAGGCGGTTCCGTCGGGATGAGCAGGCGCAGCGTGTTGAACGCCGTATTCACGCTGCTTGGAAATGTTAAAGGTATTTTGATAACAATTCTATCAGTTCAACTATTCTAATGAAGAAAAATTACTTTGATCATTTAACTACGTATTAGCACATTAGGTTAAGATTTATAGAAATGGAAATAAGTTTTGGTAACAACTCCTCAAACTAAAAATAACTTAAAATTGACTGCAAAAAATTACATTACTGAACATTAACAAAAATTGTTTTGAAAATAATATTTCAAAGAATACTTTTAAGTATTGACACTGAAACTGTTCTGCTAGGAAAGCTCAACGGTTGTTTTTAACCCGTTTTTGGGTTAGGTATTATCTGGCCCACCGAAAATCTGGTCCGCGGACCAGTTGATAACTTTTTAAAATACTAGTCTTCATCTCGTCCGAAGGTATATTTAAGCACGGGCCAGATAATACCTGTAAAATCACTAGGGTATAACTCGCCCAATCTATATAGTGAGATTTAACAATCTGTTCTTAGTTAAAGGATTCGTGATAAAATAGTTGAAGCTTTTAAAATTTTAAACTACGTAATGACTTAGGCCCAGTTTTTTGATCATAGTTAAAACAACTAATTGTTAAATTTAGCTACTAATGGTTAAATATGAACAAAATGTAAACAAATAGTTAAAAAATGTACCAAAATTCAAGCTAACAAGTGTTTCTTAAAGATTTTAATGGGAGTTCTTGATAAACTGTTCGGTGACCGGTGCCCGACCCGGTCGTAGTAATATTATGATCAATTTTATCGACAAATTCACACTGTAATAAAACATTTTATTCCTACTATTAAAAATTGCAGTTTTTTAGTTTCTGTGTCTGGGTGTGATAATTAATTTAGCAATATCTTCCGATTACAGCCTATTAGCATAAAAGTTAATTCGTTCGACAGCTATAATAGGCAATAATTGACCGTTTGTTAGTCGTATACCTCGAAATCAAAAAATCCTTGTAGCTTTTCACCTATTCGCATTTCACCGTGATAGCGTTTTTTGTTGTAGCGTGTAATATCGGTAGTATATTTTGTTACATTTTTAACAGATTTTTACAACAGTAGCATATTTTGATGTAGCATGTATTATCAATAGCCTATTTATTAAGGGCTGATTTTTCAATCGTCAGATAACTTTTAACTGAAGAATAAGTTTGGCACATGACAGTTTTAGTATGGGAAATATGTCAAAATGACAAGGTTATTCTTCAGTTAAAAGATATCTGACGATTGAAAAATCAGCCCTAAGTCACATATATTTTGAATATATTTTTACAACAGTAGCAAATTTCGATGTAACAACAAAACTATAGAGGTATAGTGCTTAAAGGAAATATCGCGATATGTAATAACGCATTACAAACAAATACAGGGTGGAAACGATAAGTGATCTCACTCGATTATTTCTAAACTATACAAGATATCAATAAACTAGTTACTGATCCTGAAAGTGCTTCACGAGCTCTATCAAACGATATTAATAATAGGTTACAGAATAAACTGGATCTATCCGAAAATTCAATGTTTCCAACTTCCATACATTTGGTAAAGTCACATTATTTTAAAAACTACACATGATATCGTAAAACTGACTACTGATTCTAAAAGTGCTACACAAGCTCTATTCAATGGTATCAATAATAGGTTACAGAATAAACTGGATCTATCCAAAAATTCAATGTTTCCTTCTTCCATACATTTAGTACTACCACAGCCATGACACTCATATCTTAACAATATTATAGCAAGTACAGCCTAAAACCAATGTTTTCCATGAATAATTTTAAATGAGAATACCATTTACGAGTTAATTTTAAGAGTTTATTATTAAATAAAAAAATTACACTTCTAATATTGTGTGGCTGGCATACATTTAGTATGGAAGCTGGAAACATTGAATTTTCAGATAGATCCAGTTTATTCTGTAACCTATTATTGGTACCGTTTGAAAGAGCTCATGAAGCACTTTCAGGATTAGTAACCAGTTTTTCAATATCTTGTATAGTTTAGAAATAATCGAGTGAGATCACTTAACGTTTCCACCCTGTATATATCAAGGTGAAAAGCGACTACAGTGAAGACAGGCAGGAAAGTAAATCTACTATGAATTTTTTAGACAATTGTAATTAGCGATCAAAAATTATACTACAAGAATAAAAACCTATTTTCGGTGGGCCAGATAATACCTAACCCTTGTTTTTATATTGTTAGTGCTCTAATTTCCCTAAAAGACACAAAAAAGTTTGAACGCCAACAAAAAGCGACTCCTGCACTAACTTTTGAGTTCGGTCCCTTTCACGAGCGTTTGCTTGACACCTTTGTTTTGCAACTGGCACCACTTCTCCACAAGAACTGGCTGTTAAACATTGTTGACTCCAACCTTCATCGTTGCACTGGTAGTTTAAAAAGTTTTCCATAATTAAAAAATAAAAAGTTTACGCGGGAAAATTGACAGATTCCATTAACTTGTTTAAACGGCACCAAAAAGTTTTCGTGGCGAATTACCGATTCTCTTTAGTTTTAGCGCTGAAAAATGACGCGATGCAACCAAAAGTGGGATGCGTACTAATCCGTGTGTGTATGTGGGGCTACTAATAAGTATCCCGATGGATATCGCTCATGAAGGAGTCATTTAGGAAGAACAGCGCGCGCCACAGACCCGGCTCTTAACCGATAATTGTATAAACAGATGGCTCCCGGTTCAGCAGGGACGGACTTAAAATTTCTGTAAATGGTAAGTCAGTACGTTTAATTACTATTTATGGATGACGAAACGTTAAGCTAAATACTGTACCATTATTATTTATAAGCAGTTTCAATAGGCGTGATTTTGGTGCAAAAACATAATCTGACGTAACGCCATATAGTTGGCGTACGCAGAAGGTTCGTATACCTGCCTAAATAGACCGAGTAGAAACAAGTTAATAAATTCTACAAAACTAAGGCAGGATCCCTAATTTACATATTTTATTAAAAACGTTTCCCATGATCACTTAAATCAAAAAGACACCAATACCTACAACATTTAAAAAAGATCGGAGTGTTTTTATGACTGGACGAGCATACCAGTTTTTAAGTTAGTTTTTTTAAAGGTCTTGTTTTATTGAATCCGAATTTGATCGAGAAAAAAATATCGTTAACACTTCGTTACTTCATAATAATTATGTTAATTAATTTATTCTATACTTACTACGTAACTATTAACGAAAATGTTGATTTTCTTTAAAAAATTTAAAAACTTAAAAGTGATTATTGATCAAAATAAATACATATATCTGCATCCAAAGTGCGTCCCTGCAGTGGCGAATGGCTTACATGTCATCAAGAATGTAAAACTCGGTTTGCTCCCCCGTGCTTTGTCTCTGTTTGTTTAAGCTAACTACCGCAATAAATATTTTTAATGACTCTGATGACTTTTCGGCCAATCGGACCCCTTGTTATTCTTACGATGCGCGAAGTGACTAAACCAAACAAGACAAAGTAAGATACCAAGGCCCTGAAAAGTTGCATCTATCATGGACGGACATTCATTATGTTATGATGCAATTTACGCAACTTATTACACTTTTCGAGCTACAGGTAGATCTGAAAAAAAAAATGTGGAGAAAAAAAAAGAAAAAAGTGGTAGGTACCTATAGTAAAAAAGCCGTGGAGTTTAGGTGGATGAAAAAGTTTAAGTAGACTTAAAATTTTAAATTAGCAGGTTCCTTAATGAAGATTTTTAAGTGTGATCAATCTATTTTGTTAGATTGCAGAAATACGAACGCGATTAAGATTAAAAACTACTCATAATAACCTTTATGCAAATGAAATAGAAAATCACAGTGGGTGAAGAATAATAATAAATTTTATTTCGTATCGTATCTATACCTATTAGGTACAGAAAGTTTACAATCGGGTGCTTTTAAAGTACATTAGAAACATTTACCCTTCCTTTTAACCTTCATAGTCGGCCGTTTGGTGTAGTGGTTCGAATCGGACTACTATTCCGGAGGTTGCGGGTTCGATTCCCGCACAGTACAAACATTTGTGTGCATGAACATATTTGTTTGTATTGGACTGGGTGTTTTCTATGTATAATATGTATGTATTTACAAAAGAAAAAAAAAAGTATTTAAGTATGTTTATATCCGTTGTCTAGTACCCATAGTACAAGCTTTGCTTAGTTTGGGGCTAGCGACGCAGTGTAAAATGTCCAAGGATATTTATATTTATATTTATTTATATTTAAAATATTAATATTTTAACTTTGTACAAGTACCAACCCTGGTCCGATAGGATACCATAACCATGAACGACGACTATAACTCTCTCAACGAGCCCTTTCGCCGCATATTCGCGTCTCAGGGGATGCGAGCATTTCCGTGGGAACTCCACTAATTGGTTAAATTATACGACTTGGCTGGCGGCCGCGCTCATTTGTATTCGTGAACAACGAGGTTCACATGTACGAGTAACAATGCGTGTGCGCCGTGCGACGAAATCTCTTGATGAGCTTCACAGCCCTAAAGTTTTATGTATGTGTATCCAAGGAGTAATTAATCTGAGACGATGCTTATCAGACAAGAAATACTGGTTCAGTTCTGAGAAAGGTCAGAAGATGAGGATATAAAATGGTAATGAAAATAATTTAATTGTTTTGTATTAATATTGAAATCAAAATTGCACCTTCCGTAGGGAAAAGAGTCGTCTGAAGAGGTGAGACCGATGATATAGAACCAACAGCCAAGTGAATGTCATGCCTAGGTAGGGAAAATTCGTAGCAGCAGTCTGAACTGGATCCATTTACTTATCGTTGGATAGAGATAAAGAGAAACGGGACTGAAACCGAAACCATCAACGACACAGTCAATGTCATCAAGATAATGTGGTCCAAGATCCAGGTCACAGAAAGGAGCTATTCATCCAAACCGCTGAGTGACCGATGAGGCAATCACAATAGTGATGCTCATAGTGCTCAGGTGGAGTTGGTTTTGCGAACGACGTCAGGCCCCCTCCACCGCGCGTCCAACCGGCGCGGGCGCACCACGGCCGAGACTTTCTCCTCGCGACACCGCGGAGAAACCCCAACCAGCCCGCGCTGAGTCGCACACGCAGCCGCGCGCGAGTCGACCGTCTTCGACGCATGCGCGACCACACGATCGCTTATTATCATCACACTTCCGCGTTCGAATTACCGCTTTCGCCCCGTAAACAGTTCTCGTGCGAACGTTTCGTGTTTTCAAACAAATTTCGACATCGCTGTTGCGAAACAGATCAGCCGGTGGATGGCTGCAGTTTTCAAGACGAACAAGCGGCGTTTGCAAACGCTGCCGTGATGCCTAATCATAATTAGAGGTGAGTTGGTGCCTTTCTACTAGCGTGGTCCGTTCGGTGTTAGACGATGACATTCCATGATAAGGTAGCCGCAGTGTCTCGCAGTGAACGCAAGGACGCGACCACATGTTGGCTACCCACCGGCCACAGGTCGCTGTGCTAATTCGTACACAAAGATGCTAAACACTGATTTGATGACAGTAATCATCCATCATCCTTTGCTTGGGTAACTCACTCAGTAACTTCAATGATATTTCAGTTCCGAACTTGAGCCTCTAAACAATAGTATTTTTTTATTTGTGATCAGTTACTTAGAATACAATGGGTTTTTTGTTATCGTCTTGACAGTTCGGTATATTTAATAAACAGTTACAAGACCGGTTAGCTTTGGCCCGCATTTGCTGATCAGCTGATTCAAATCCGCATGCACAGAAGTTTGTCGCAGTCTCTTACAAAATCATAGTTACTAAGTTTTATTATGTTTTGAATAAGGATCTGAATGCAATTCTAAAAGTAATCAGTTCAACTGCTCTGAATATTATCAATATTATCAAAAACAATAAACCGATAGCACAAAATTTCATATCTACCAAGATTTTCTATTCTCTTAGCTACGGCGTTTCACAACTTTATGTAATAAATTGACCTCCCATTGTTTCAAATAAGACTTCCAGTCTTGTAATTAACGGGTCTTATATACCTGGAATATGATTATTATGTTAAACATTCCTTTAGTATCTTCAAACTATACCTACATAATAGTTTTCTACTAATAACTGTAACAGCTCTGTTAGATTAAAAGTCGTGAGAAAGGCGAGCCATTATTCTAAAACCGCAGTAATATGGTGTTAATGACGAAGATCAAAATAACAAGCATGTAGTTTCCCTCGAGTCTCGATAGTCATGCCGGAGCTGGACACAACGTTACGTGATGTTATTAAGAAATTACTGATACGGTACCTGATGAGTTCATGCAAGCCAAAATAGCCTCAATGAATGAAAAGTCACGTGTGTTGATTAATGAAGATGGCAAAACATATTATGATTCACAAGGATCTTCGGCTTTGACATCCTGCCAATGACCCATTAAGCATGCGCTACCAGACGCGAGCGCACAAATGTATACAAGAATATGCAAAACTGTTATACAGCTTGGAGGTTGTATACCTATGTGAGTCTACATACGTAGCAACGATTGAATCATTATATCCCAGAAACGAGACGTCACTATTTCATTCAAATTGAGAGGATAATTATGAGATCCTTCTGCTAATCGATTTCGATTTTCTCTTTAGATTTCCCCGTTGTACTGTTTCCTTCATTTTTCACCATTATAACTATGGTATTTTTAATCGCACTGCGCAACTTTTCTTAATGACTGCACATCACAAGGTTTTGTGTTCGGAAAACTGTCTTAATTTACTGTTAAATTTCACAATTTAACCTTCGTTTTGTACGCAACGTGTGACGTCAATATCGAAGATGTTGCATTATGTAAAAGGGAATCAGTGCAAAGTGAGCTAAATACGTGTCTACTTTCACTGTACTGTACACCTAAGTTGAAATGAGTTTGTGAATACTTTTGTGGGTTTATTGAAGTGAGGCTAGAGGTCAGGCAATGTTTGCCACTGATTATTCAAGGTCTATTCGTCTGCGTGTCGCGCGGATGCTGGCTGAGGCAAGCATGTAGGTGCCAATCGAGCGCGGGCAGCCATCGGCCGGTGAAGGCCGGCCTTTTGTGTTTGACTAAATGCCCACTGAAGATGTTACAGCACCTGTTTAGTTTGACGAACGTCTAGTATTCAATTTAGACGTGACTAAGTATTATTAAGTAGGTATTCGTTTGCATTTCACAGTTTTCTTATCGCTATCAAATAAAATGACCCTGCAGAAAGACAGCATTGACCATTCAGAAATTCAGTAATGTTTAATAATACCTACTTATTTTCTACAAATGAAACAATTTTACATCAGATAACGCAGTTGTTAGGAACTGTAGGTACATACCTATATTACCAAAATATTGTTTATTTTATACTACATTTTTACACAATTTAAATACAAAATATAAAATTAAGAAAAGAAGTCAAAGCCTTTCGAAATCTATAATGTTCTTACCTACCGACTGCTACTTAACAGATAAGCAAACCATTTAAGTTGAGTAACTGCAGAATTGAGCGGTTCGAGACGACGTGCAATACTTATCGCACCTTAATAGATCCTGTGCAATAAATATTATCTGCATCGACTTCACAATCATCGGCCGTTGAACGGATAACGCTTGAAGGCTGGGTAGGTTCTTTACTTCAGTAATTCAGCTATGAGCTAAAGAAAATGTTAATATGCATTAATAACGTATCATTTACCTACTGCTGCTTTTCATTGCCTTCAATT